AATAATAATAATAATAATTAAAAAAGGTTTATTGAGCAGCAAATCAGCATATTAGAATGATTTCTGAAGGATGTGACACTGAAGACTGCAGTAATGATGCTGCAAATTCAGCTTTGATCACAGAAATCATTTAAAAATATATTCAGATAGAAAACAGTTATTTTAAATAGTAAAACTATTTCACAACATTGCTGCTTTTGCTGTACTTTGGATCAAATAAATGCAGGCTTGGTGAGCAGAAGAGACTTCTTAAAAACATTAAAAATCTTACTGTTCAAAAACTGTTGACAGGTAGGTTACAGAAATGTTATATTGTAATGTTTATATATGTTATATATATATATATAACATTTCTGTCCCCCTCACTTCTGAAATGATGGCTACGCCCCTGCCACGGGTCATCAATAAGGTGCAGATTGATGCTTGAAGAATGCACTTCCAGCAGCCATGATAAACAGTTGGTATCACATAAAAAGTATATGGGCTTAAAGAGAAGCCAAAAAAGGATTTCAGCAACCGTTGGGGTGCGGAGACACATCCAAATATGAACGTGAATAGTAAGACTGGTCGCAGCACAGTCAAACAAACTGTCGTGACCCCAGTTCAAGGGAACACAACAGGGACTGACAGTAAACAACTGTCCAGGGAAGACACGAGTTTACCAAGGGAAACCATACCGTGGAAGAACATACAGGATTACTAAGGGAATCTCATGTATGGCACCAAGTCCAGTAAAAGATGGTGACTAATGGCATGCAACCCAAATACTGGATGCGGGTTCACCAGGTGAGGAACTTACTGGAAGAAGATAAGTGCATGTATCCTAACCAGAGGAATGGTGCTGCAAGCGAGACACCAAGCCAGACCTCCCGCAAATTACCTGTTTGTACCCAAAAGTATGTAAAATTACTTATAAACACATAAGTAATTGAAAATCTATAATAAATTTGAAAAAAAGTCATCACAGTATAAATACAGATATCTCATTAAAACATTATTTTAATGATACAAAATGGAAGACTATATCTAAGTAGTATATATGCTTTTGCTTTGCCTTTCACTTTGCAGCTCAAGAATGCTTGCATTTTGGCATCATCATACAAAGTTAGTAAATTATGTGATGTTTTGCGCACATTTTTCTTGGATGGAGGTGGACTTCCAGTTTTTAGGTGGAGTCATATCATATCGCTTCATACTGTACATTCAGAGGGTGTGGCCCACTTGAAATCAGTGATACTGATTGGCTTTACTACTACAAGTGATACATGTATGATTCCATCATTCGCCTCTGCAGTTACAGTTAGCCTATTTAAAAAAAAAAAAATCGAAAAACATGTCGAAAATGAATGGATTGGAAAGATCACTTGACACATTAAACTACCCTCCCTGTTGCTCAAAAAGTCTGAAGATATTGGTTGAATTTGCACTAATCATTTTAAATTGAAATTAAGTTGTGGTTAAGAATTCCTTCACGACATGAAATTTAGCCACAGACTTTATGGTGTGTAACCATTAGACCCAGTAAAATTACCAAGAACCGATACAAGAAAAGACAACAACATTCATAAAGACACTAAATAACCTGACCTGAAAAGCTGCAGAGGTCACATAATTAAAAAAAATAGTGATAGATTTTAATGCTGTACACCCTTATCAGATGCACCTAATGTATGAAGAAAAGAAACAGAAAACAGATGAATTACCTTGTAAAAGCAAATGAACTACCAGAGGTCCCATCATGTTCCTGGGTTTGCCCTTAAGTGAAATCAAAAACAACTATTGTTTTATGTGTACAAAATTAATTACATTTTTAATTACATTACAAAATATAACATTTCAAAATAAAGTCACCCAATAAACAACAGAAATGTCACCCAAGGGACTTTCTGTGGCACACATCCTCAATATCTATTTTCAGTTATTCTTATCAGATTTGGAGCATCAAATCAATAAAACAGGGTTCTAAAATGTATGACTTGAAACCTTAAGTTGCCAGTTAAATTAAATGTATCCTACAGTATCCTAAAATCTTGGTCATGATAAATCAGATATAATATACCCTCATCTTTTTTTTTTATTCTTACCTTCTTAATCCAGTTTCAAATCGTTTGGATGAAAAAAGCCTACACCATGTACTTCAAAATGCAAGAACCTGAAAGCACAAGACAAAAGTGCTGTTTGGTTATGCAAGAAAGATTCTATAAGAGGAAGTGTGAATTATACCCCCCCTCTTAATAAACCATTGCTTCTGCAGTCTCTAGCCCATCCCACTGCCACTTTAACTGAGGTAACGTGTTGAAGCATCTTGTTTTGAAATGACATGCTTGATAAAGCATGACAAACACTATGCAAAAAAGAATTGTCATTTTACTAGATAAATAGAGTTTTTTAATTGATTTGCTGAAGCATTACATACATCCTAAAATCAAGTCCTTTAAAAGCGTCTAAAATACATTCTAATACCTAATGTTTAGAAAATGTTAATTCCGGTCAGTGATACTGTTTTATGTTTTAGGAGTATCAGATAAAAATGAACTGGGTCACATTTCCCAAAAGCATTGAAAGCATCGAAAGTTGATCGTAGAAAAAATGTTACAACTTATCTTAGAATCACAGGCTGCTTCCCAAAAGCATTGTAACTGAAGTAATACTTGAAAATCCTTGCAGATCTATGAGTGCTC